ACCTGGTGCGCAGCATGCAGGGAGCCAGCCCGCAGCATTATTTTATGACATGCTGAACATCTCAACACTTATTTAACATTACGGCAGTACAACAAATCAAGAATTGTTTAAGGTCGCAGCAGGACGGGGTGGCCAAGCTCAAGATGCCTTTCTGTGGGCTGGCTGGAACATAGTGTATACTGCACATGCAATCGTGATCTACTCCCACATCACCACATGCCAAACCGCATCAGCAGGGTCCTTCCCATGCACCACCTTTCTTCCACCAGATCCGCCAGAATCGGGATGAATTTCGGGGGTGTATGCCAGTCATCCCTCACCAAAGAGATGGATCTCAAGCAAAACGCTCTTCCTCATGGTATGAAGATGATTAGACGGGTAGATGGGGTTGAGAATACTTGCTTTAGTTGCGGACTCCGCCTGAAACACCGCTCTGACTGCCGGTTACTGATGATGCCGTCTGATGACTGGTCAAAACAGAGCAACTACAAGCCGATTCACCAATACAGTGGTACTTACCAAGCACCACCTCTCACAAGGCTATCACCAATAGAAATTCTCTCATCGCTCGCCAATCCTTACCTTGCACTCTTTAGCCCATCTGCTCTCAACCTAGCAGATGAGTCATCCTGGCGAGAAGTCGACACTGCAAGTCACCCTCTGTCCGCCACCACACATCATTACCTGCCTGCTTGGATGACTTCCAGAGGAATTGCTCTGGCACCATTGCAAGGGCCCCATGAGAACTCTATTCATGACACAACACAAACTCAGTGATCAGCAGAAGGCCAACCACTCCGACACAAGAACCTACACAGCGCTGAAGTCTCTTGATTATGAAAGCCCTCTTCACACCTCCAACCAATCAATAGAACGATGGTCCTTGACTCGCACCTCGTAGATCTAAGCAGCGGGTGTGACTGCCTATCCTATTTCCATGCCTAGCCTATTCTGCTCATCCACCCTGCCACTGAGCTCAGCCCCACTGGTGACCGTTTGAAGAGTCTGACGAGCTGGAGCTCTCCCTGCCAACCAACAGGTAAGTAACCACCAGGCTTCCAAACGAGCTTGCTGCTTCGTGCAAGGACCTCCCTATCCTGTCCCCGCTCTCGCTGTACAAGGTGCCCACAAGCTAAGGCGCCTGTCTTGTGCCCCAGTTCTCACCGCTGTGGCACTAGGTGACTGCACAGATCCCTTCCAACCCATGCACTTTGACTTAACGCCGCTGCCGCCTGGTGGCAACCTGTGTCTGAATCCCCTGTGACTGGCCTAGCCTCAACTTATACACAGTGGCTGGGTCCTGCTTCAGCCGGTAGGTACTGCATACTGGAACCTTCTGCTTTTGGCTGAAACCTAACGGGCCCTGGCAGAGTTACCTGCTCCCCATCCTGGGCTTACTGGACATGTACTCCCTGCACCTGAGACCCAGGGCCAGACTGCTCACTGAACGGCCCCAGGGCCCTTGCACAGAGCACCAGTGTGGTGCTGGCTGCTCACTGCACATGAGTGTTTGGTGCACACTTGGTGCATCACATCTATTGTGTGGTGCAAGCCATCCGATGACTTTTCTTTAAGCACCAGGCACGTACCTGATGGACATACATGAAAGAATTTGAAAGACACTATTTGCAGTCCTTCAGAATGAGGGGCTTATTGTTCCCCTGATTGAGGGAAGACCATTTTGGAATGAATAGCACATGGCCCGTGTATATCAGCATGTGGGGGACGCTTGTGAAGACTAATTGCACTCTGTGTTGTGGGAAAAAGGCCATTTACAACTCATTTAATAAGCAATGGTGTGTTCTGCGAGAAGTTGAGAACTGAGCAGCACAAGGCACAAAAATTGCTCTGCTATGTTCGCGGTTCAATTGTGATCTAAAAACTCAAATTCAAGGCAAGGGCAAGAAATCGGAGCACAAAGGACTGAGGAACGAGTAAGGAATGAGACAGGAGGAGGAGGAGAAGAAGAAGAAGAAGAAGAAGAAGAAGAGGAGGAGGAAGAAGAAGAAGAAGAAGAAGAAGAAGAAGAAGAAGAAGAAGAAGAAGAAGAAGAAGATGAAGAAAGAAGGAGAAGGAGAAGAAGGGAAAGGAGGAGGAAAGAAAGAACTTCAAAGAAGAAAGAAGAAGTTAAGCAAGGAAGAAGAAGAAGAAGGAGGAACACCAATGAAGAAAGAAGTGAGAAGAAAGAAGGATAAGGAGGAGGAGGAGGGAAAGAAAGAGGGAGAAGGATAAGAAGGAGAAGGAGAAGGAGGAGGGGAAGAAAGAAGGAGAAGAAGGAAAGAAAGAAAGTCAGAGAAGAAAGAAGTTAAGTAAGGAAGAAGAAGAATAATTTATTCTCCCTCCTCGCCACCTTCAGCATCATCCCTAACTCTCATGGGTGAAGTCTTGACTCAAATGAAACCCAAATGGGCTTGACTCAAACGAAACCCATTTTGGCTTGACTCAAATGAAACCCAAATGGGCTTGACTCAAATGAAACCCAAATGGGCTCACTGGATGCATTATCACTCAATGGAGAATAGAAATAGAGTCCGTTATAGTCAAAGGTAAGTCCTCGGGTGGGTTCCCCCTTTCTGCCCCGCTCGAAAAGTCCTCCGAAATCTTCGACATGCTTGCACCGACCCTACATTGCCCCTTGAAATAGAAGCCTCCTGGTCATAGCTGCCTTAGCCTCCTTGTCGGCCTCCTTCCTGCTAGGGCCCTGCTTCAGATGCTCCATATCTATACCGGACAGTTCCAAGGAGCAGAGCAGCGTAAATGACCACTGCTCCCAGCAGGAAGTCTCCTCCTCCAAGCGCTCACTTTTTTCACTTGGTCCAGTGAGCAGCCTGGCCGCCAGCGGTGCCAGGGCAATACCTCGGACCTTCCTATGCCAGTCTTTTGTTGGCAAGGAAAATGACAACTTCAGGTCAGACGTGTATGCCTCCCTGGTACCAGATGCATCCATCGTAACTCTTGCCTACAGTCAGTCCATTACCATTACCACAGCTACTTCTAAGTCTTCCGGACCCTGGTACAGCTGGACTTGTTGCAAATCCCTACAGGGTACCTCAACATTTCCATTTTCTCCCTTCTTCATCCAGTCTCGGTCTGTCTGTCCATTAACTGGCAAATTTCCCTTTGGCCCCTCAAACTCCCCTACTGTAAGACATGTCCCTCTTGGGAACTCGATACAACACTAAATACTCAGGTTAGTACTCCAGTCATGCAGTCGTACTCATAGCAATCAAGATTGGCACACCAGAGCACATAATTTAGACATAAACACATCAAAGGTCAACCACCATTGGAAGCAGAGATCTCGGACGAAGTTCAGCCAAAACACATTTCAGTTCAGCTTTTTGTGGGTGCCTACTACCTAAGCCATTCCCCTGAAGGATGTAACAATATGCCCAATTCAACAGTGCTTGTCGTGTATCTCAAACGTTATTGGATGCATAGCATACATGCAAGCGCACGTCGTGCGGGCGGTTCCCTACGTGCGGCGCACGCGCCCAACCGATCCCGTGCGGCGCACGACGTGTGCGGAGAACGACCCGTCACCCGCCTTAGAAAAAAAAAAAGGCCGGGGTCGAAACGGTGCGTTTGAGGCCCCCAGCCAAAGTCATAGGCGAGATGAAAAAAAAAATTACAGGAGTTCTGCCTCACCTTGCTCCTCCTCCCCTTCCTCATCATCCATGTCTCCTCCTCCCTCCTCCTCCTCCTCCTCCTCCTCCTCCTCCTCCTCCTCCTCCTCGTCTCGTCCTCCTCCTCCTCGTACTTCCTCATCTTCCATGCCTCCTCGTCTCCTTCCCTTCCTCGTGTCCTCCCCTTCCTCGCCGTGCATGTCTCCTCCTCCCACTCGTCCTCCTCCTCCTTCCCTTCCTGTTTTCCCTCCGTCCATCTCTTCTCCTCCCCCATCTCAACTCCTCCTCCTCGTCGTCCTCGCTATCCTCGTCGTCCTCCTTGTCCACATCCTCCTCCTCCTCTCCATATCCCCTCTCCTCGCCATATCCCCATCTTCCTGTCATACGGCCCCCCATTCCCCCTCCCAAAAAAAAAAAAAATAATAATAATAATAATAAAAATAAAAAACCTGCACGATTCCGCACAGGCACCCCCCGCACGGAACTCCGCACGGAACTCCGCACGAATGTGCGGCTCGTGCGGTTGCAAGTATGATGCATAGATATGGTTCTGAGTGTATGATGCATTTGAATGCACTCCAAAATGTCAAACCTGCTGTCTGAACATGCGTTATTCTTTGTTCTGTCTGCCGGATGTTTGCTGTCAAGTACAAGTAGCATCATGGACAGTGACAAGCTTGTAACTTCCGAATACAAAGTGCTACCGGGCGGTGCGCGTGTAACCGTTGCCAAACGCCAGGCATTTTGGGCAGTCTACTTCATGCGACGGCTGCTCCCCGGTCCCGAGCACTGTACAAAACGAAGGTGGGACATCGAAACCATTGCCAAACGCCAGGCATTTTGGGCAGTCTACTTCATGCGACGGCTGCTCCCCGGTCCAGAGCACTGAACAAAACGAAGGTGGGACTTTTCGATGGCAGGCTCGGTAAATTTCGGCACGCTGCGGCGCGTCGCTTTGATAAAAACAGGCTCGGGTGTACTTGTGGTTTAAGGTCTCCATTGCAGCCTTGAAATAACCATGTACCTCGCACTGTTCATCAACCGTCTTAGGATGCAGCTCTTACCGTCAGGTCGTTAACGGACGGCCTGAAATGGCCTTTACTACTCAGAACCTTCTTTGTCAACTAGATGATATCTTCCAGGACAGGAGAGGGGGGGGAGGGGGGGGGTGAGATACTCTGGACAAGGGAGAGATGACAGGGCAAATGAACACCAAGCTCTGGATGATCCGATGGTGAGCAGAACTTGTCCTTGGAAACTCGTGGCCCCATTGTCCTGGCTCTTAAAGCATTAGATGATTCCAAGGAATATTTGACAGCCTTATGTGACAATTTGTGAAACTTGCGATCAATTGTTTGTGCATTCTTTGTACAGGTGGCGAATAGGAGCAGATGTAAGAAAAGTTCACTTTGCAGAGGTAAGCTCAGTCTGTGCAAATGAAAAGAAAGATGGATGACTTCCGAACAATGAAGCAAATGTCCTGAAGGACATTTTCTTCAGCTGAATTGCTGCAGAGCAGAGCAGAGCTGAGCTGTGGCTGGCTGAAGCAGAAGTAGTTGAAAATAGTCTTGGGCGGTAAAGCTTTGCTGTTTGCAGCCACCGCTTTGTGGGATGGTTGAAGGTCGGTTGTCTGCGGGCATGGCATAGAGGCGGCGAGGTCATGAACACCAGCTAAGTCGGGCAGAAAAGAGCTTTTGCTTAGCTACCGTGGCCCTTGGCATAGAGGAAGTGGATGCACTGGCTGTTATTTCACACTCTCAATCTGTTGGTAAATAGTTCTACATGTGTTTACAATCGTAGAATCTTTCGATATGATGATCAACGTTTCATCTGTCTGTGATGCTGTAATGATTTTCGCACACATTTTCAACTGGCTAACGTTCATCCTTTGTGTATGTGTGTGTCTTTTCAAAAGCACCCCAATTTCTCCCTCTTGTTCACTCCACAAATCATAACAAACCATCTCTAACGGAAAAGGTATAGATAGACAGTATAATAGAAAATGCAAGGTTGGCCACGTTTGTGGGGTTCAGCGCCAAGTGTCCCCCACACCTGTCTGCCGCTGAAGTGGCACACTTGCACACTTGCACACTTGCACACTTGCACATATTAAAAGGGCCTTTACCCGATGTAGGCCTCAGGCCTTGTAAAAGTAAAGCAGTATGGGCCTTGTAAAAGTAAAGCAGCATGAAAGGGTATCTCGCCAGGGCTCAGAAACGTGAAAGCAGGGCAAAGGTCAAGTTCTCTATCAACAGGCACATCCAAATCTAAAGCAAAAAGCATCGTCAAAGGACTTAACTGTTCACCAAAAGATGTGCATGTCATGTCTGTTCGGGTAAGGGTGTGTCTGTACGTGCAGACAGTGTACCTGTTCGTGCAAAGGAAAGTGTCTGTTCAGGCAGTAAATGTGTCTGTTCGTCTAGAGTTGTGCCTGTCCGAAAGTAAAGTCAACAGGTAAAGTCTCAGTTCTGATCTAAGTCAAGGGGACAGTCCAGATCCAGACTTTCAAGTCCAAATCTAGGCCGAGAGGCCTCAGCAGCAGTTGAACCTCATTGGGACTATACTGGGACACATGCAATGCAGGGTCTGGGACAAAGGAAAGGCTGAATTGAGCCAATGCAGACCCAGCGAGGAGTGGCCAGCATTATAAAGGAAGCTGCCAGCCTCATTCCTCGCAGATCTCCACTGGCCATTTCTGCGTGGAAGTGCTGGTGCACTTGTGCGCTAAGTCAGGAGGAGCAGCGCTGGAGGATGAAGATGCGCTGAGTGAGGGAAGAAGCCTGTACGCTGGAAGTGATGCAGCCATAGCTGCCCAACGAGTTAGTACTAGTAGTAGAGGGTTAGTAGATAGCTGTGAGTAGCATTCAGAGTAGATCCTCATGAGTGAAGAGTGTGTATGCATCGTAGGAGGAAGGGACCGAAGCAGAGAGAGTGTTCATTCAAGGTTTGGTTATGGAAGATACTTACCTGAGTTGGATGTAAACTGCAGAGGTGGCGCTGATGGGTAGTGACCACGTTGATGACTTGGAGACAAGATACAGGAGTAGCGCTGATGCATTGGGAGTCATATTGATGAGTTGACAAGAGATTTGTGTTGCGCTGATGAGCGCTGTACTCAGGGGAACATGGAAACACTTTGTAATCATATTTCTGAAATATAAGCTGTGAAACTCGGTCCTCTTCTCATCTACCTTTGTCTATGATTTGAGACTATTGATCATTGTGTGTGAGAATGACGCATGATATGTACACACTTGCGTGAGATGGTCCCCAGGACCCATGCAATATACATATAAATATATATTTCATAATCCATAAAAGGGTGGAGGGCAAAAGGCAACTTACCTAAGACATAGGAATCCACCAGCAAGAGAGCACTGACCCCATTAGCCAAAAGTCCGAAAAAAGTTGGAGAGCCCTCCGGGTCAGCCCACAAAACCACAAACTTAATTAAACAAACCCAACAGCATAGCACAAAAGGCTCCACTAACAAAAAAGCACCGACCACACACGCCAATGGTCTAAAAAAAAAAATTAGAGCCCTCTGCGACGACCTACAACACCACCACAAATCAAAAATACACCGCGAGACATGTACGCAACACCTAGAGTGCCATGAACCTCCCCCTGCCGCACAACCTGCAGATCAGATGATACCCTAGTGCTACAGCGAGGCCACTGTGAGTACTACGCTAAATTCCACAAGATCTCCACGCGGCACAAGGAGCGCTACTGCTTAAAACACCCTAGAAGCTTTCCCATTGTGTGTGTGTGTGTGTGTGTGTGTGTGTGTGTGTGTG